CCCCCCGACCTCTGAGTTCGTCCGGTGGAGTTCATTTTCGCTGAATTTTCAGCCCCATGGGGTGTTCACAGACATAGGGCCTTCACTTCGACGTTGCTGTCGTCGTCATCGTTGACACATTGTACCATTTCCATGAATTCCACATCGAGTGCCACCTTGGTGCACTCCTGTCGACAGACTTACGAATTTGCACGTCGCGGGTCTGTCAGTGTGTGCGACGCCGACGTCCGCATGGTACCGCGATTCCCACCAAGCATCTAGCGATATTGAGTACTCTTGCCCATGGATTTCAGAAAGTCGCTCGCGAAACTGGCCCTACAGTAGTAGCTCAAACGCCCAAGAAACACCACAAAGCATTTCGAAACTACGCATGGTCGGACAAAGAGAGACGACAGTGAAATCATACAGCCTCGAAAGGAGCAGGTCTCTCTAATGATTTTCTACTCTGCTTTGTGAACTGTGAACATCTCGTCGGCCACTTTGTAAGGCCGGGCATTCTGGAAATCGACGGCAAAATGCCGTGTTTTAGGGTGCTTGTCCGGGAGGAGCTAGAAACAAAACAACAAGACCAACAACCGGCAGACATTTCGGCGCCGGGTTGAGATGTTGGTCGTTGTTCTTTCGTCCCTTGCCTCGAACCCCCCCTGAAGTGGCCATTTTATTCGAAACTGAACGTGCGCCCCCGCGGGCGTGTTTGCCTGCCCGGCTTGTCACGTCGACATGGTTAATCACACGGATGGCCCCTTGAAGAGAAGAGAGATATGTGGTTGACCCAAACTCCGCGTACCCAGAGAAGCGAGAGAGTAAGGACACCATGCATGCGGAGCACGTAGGGGCTCCGTCGTATCACACTTTCTCCCTACCACATTTCAAGAGACTCCGTACATCGGTGTCACCACCGAGTGCACCAAACAGGGCGCTCTTGGAGGATAAGACGGGTAAACCTTGAAACGAAATTGCCTGACTACGTAGGAGGAGGCATTTAAGGCTCAACAGCTGAGGGTGTCATTCACGTTGTAGTACCTTCTTCTCGATGTGATAGGGTGTCCTTTTCGTACGGTCTAGCGACTTCAAGCGCTACTATGCTGCCACTTTCCAGGTACTCCCTAAGGTCTATCGAAGTTTGGAAAGCACCGCGTCCCACTTCGCCACCAACGAAAGAGGCTTTTCCATCATCAGTACACCTCACATCTGCCAACTCGGCACCTATTGGATCTATGTACATGTAGAACGGTTTCGACCGCTGCAAGACATCCTTATACATGTTGCTTCGAAGCTCGGCCCCGACCTCAACGCGGACGAAGCCCTGCTGTTGTTGTCTCGCGCACGTGGTTCCTTTCGTGCAGGTTTCAACCCCATTTTCCCGCTTGCTGTCGTCTTGTTTCCCCGACTTTAGTCCGGCGGTCGCCAAGACACTTTCCCATTCGCTCTCGCTTGCCGACGAAGATATATTTATGTCCACCACAAATACATTTTGCAAAACGCACAACGCCGTTCGCCCCTGGACGGTGATGCACCACTCTCCATCCCTCCCTACGTGAAAATCCTCCACAAGTACCTCCACGGTGATTGACGTGTTGATAGCACCGACCACTCCTGCGGGACTCTCACTAGCCGGACGCACAAAAGAAATCCGGCTGTTCCCTCGACCCAGACAGAGGCCGCGGGTCATTCCAGCGACCAAGCGACGTGAGTAGTAGTCAGCGTCCCAGGCCTCCGGCCGCTCCTGGATCAGAGCTCCAAGGCGCTCGCTATCACCAACGTCGAATTCCCTTACATCAAACCTCCTGCGCCACCGAGCCTCATGCACCTCAGAGGTGGTGACGACGACGGCCCACGCTCCGAGCTGTCCGACGGCCAGAACCGCCACCTTTGCCGCCCTCGAGGATAACTCTGCAAGGGCGTCGGCGTCGGCGACACCACGAATGAGAAGCACCTCGGTGATCAGGGGTGTGAACGAAGAACCCTCGCTTGAATCAACCACGTACACCGAAAGCCTTTGAGGCAGGTCGTCGATCCGCGTCTTGGCATCTACTCGAGCGGCGGCAAGAATCGACGCGAGACCAGGCCGAGCCGCGGCGGTTGCATCGGCGCCAGCCGGGGTTACCACAACGGCCAGGACCACGCGACCCAGGCCCGGTACGTTGAGAACGCGGAGCATGTCAGGGACCTGATCGTCGGCACCGACTACAAGCATGTCAAGTGGGCGGGTGCTGACCTCCGCCGTCCCCTGATCGCCATCGCCGCCAACAGGACCAGCGTTTGACCGAGAACCGCGAGCACTTCCGTATCCCCAGGCTTGTTGGAGGTTGTCAGAAACATCCCCTTCGAAAGCTTGTTGGAGCAAAAACTCGTGGTCACCGTTCGTTTGGCAGTAGACGACATCGTACCAGCGGAGGCCTTCGCGGCCAGCATATCCAGGGCAGCCCTTGCCATAATCTCTTATATCGAGCTCAGGCCCGCTCCCTTCTCGGTCTGTCTCAATGTCTTTCCCGGGGGTACAAAGGTGTCCCCACAGTACCATCCCTTTCAGCTGGGCCGTGAGCCTCGACGTTGTTCCCCGTCGGGTAGCGGTCGTGCCCGCCGGCTGTAACAATTCCCGCACGGTACGGTCGGCCGTTCCACCCCACCGCCCCGTTGCCCAGACTGCGTCGTAGTTGCTCAGGCAGTCGGCATCGCGCGGCAGCTGCATGGCCCTTCTTTCTCGATAGGTTGCCCCATTCGCTTTCTGTTTGTTCTCTTCCTCCTCTCCCCTTCCCAACATCTGGTCGGCCGTGGTCCTGTTGGAACCTCGCGCACCACCCCACGGCTGTGGTGACGTGAACCAGCTGAAGAGATACGTCGATCCGAGTAGTGGGTCTACCGCTGGCACGAACGTTGATTCGAACGTGACATCCCCCTCTAGTTCGTGGTCGACCACTATTGCGACGGTAAGGCAACCCCTCTGCCGGGAACATCTCGCCGCCTCGTCACCCCGGCCGCCTTCCCCTTCATCCTCGACGAAAGCAGTGGCTGCGCTGTTCCCGTGGAGCGACCCCACGAACGAGAGGATATCCTCTACCCGCTGGCTCCAAGTATGACCGTCCTCGATCATATCCCGTCGCTGCCGCCGTTTGCTCGCCTCGGTATTGTCACGCCCTACGGCTTGCTGTGAATGCAGCAGACTCTCGATATGCCGCGCCACATCCCCGCGGCGCCTCGCGTAGAGCAGCGCGTCCCCAAAGGTGGTCTCAAGAGCGGGAAAATGGTCGGAGATGAGAGGCGCACCAACGGACAGCGCTTCGTAAACCCGGTTGTTGATCTTGCCGCTCTCGCGCTGGGCATCCGTTGTGACCCCGATGACCACCAGCGCGCTGCCGTAGACGAACGCCTGAGAGGAAACATGCAAATCATTGTTGAGCACGAGTAATGCGGAAAGGTTTTAGGTCCGGCCTGGTGCCGAAAGCAGGAGGTGGAAACTTACAAAATATTGATATCGTTTGCATTCGGTGGTGCGATGCTGTTCAAGGGTTCCACAAGAATCGGTGTCATACTATCATGCTCATATACTGGTGCAGACGTCAAAACAAACCCGACCCTATGAAAACAGATCCCACTCAACACTTCGCAACGGTGACCCTAGATAATAGGGCTCCTTGATACATGGGTCTTATACGCCATGTGTACAAGTTACAGATCAACTAACCAGATCTTCTTGTGGCAATACCCCCCTCCAGTATTCTGAGAACTCGGGGAAGTCCTGCCACCCGTTTCCGTAGATGTCCAGGCCGAACGGCGCCGCTTCCCGCAGCATCCACGGGAGCATTTCCTTGTGCTCCATGAGTGTTGCTGATCCCACGTACACCACCCTACCGTGACTCGTACGGTTCCAACGTCCGACAAGGACGCCGTCACCGCCACCGTTGTCTTCGTAGGGGTGGCCGCGACTCGCAGTTGTTGCTGCAGCCGCCGCCTCAGGGCGAGGCGGGTTCGGGTAAAAAGGAAACGCTTCGGTGTCGACGGCTAGCGGAACAAGCGCTGTCGGTGCCGATTGACGAAGGTACTGTCGAGTGGACTCACTGTTGGTGAGGAATCCTTCGACATCGAGAGCAGCCACGTGTGGTAGCCCGGGGTACTCTGGGTCTAAGCAGTAGAAGAGGACTGTGACCGGAAGAGGGTAGGAGATGGCCCGCACCTATCCTAGACACAATTGAGAGTGGTGCGCAGCAGGGAGTGCATTTGGTTGACCTAGTAGTTGTCGACAACGCGAAAGAAACACACCACTTTTTTCAAACTTCGCCCCAAAGGCTGCCATTCGCTGTCGTAACTGGATGTTTCACCCGAGCTCGTGAGCTGTCGCAAAGGGTTGGTAGATAGTCTACAGTAGTCAACTGTAGTTCCACACACATGAGGAAACGACATACCACAGCAGTAGTAGCGGAGAGATTGCTCAAGTCCTAAATTTCAAGACAAACCTTGAAAGACTGCCGCTCTACACAGTACTGCCGCTCTACACAGTAATCTAGAGTAAAAAGCACGCTACCTAACCTCATGGATGAATGAGTTTATCATTCCAAACCAGCCCTCGATGATGACAAGATCCCAGCTCCTGGCGTGCAATCCCTCGTAGTTAAACGGGTAAAAAATTTGTACGTGTTGTTGGTCCTCTTGCTGCGTGATCTTGGTCCCTTCGCCGCTCCAGCGTCCTCCTCCTACGGTGCTACCGCCACTGCTGTCCCTCCCACCCGATGGCGTATCAGTAGCGCTTTTTTTCCAATCCCTCCTCAAGAGAGCTTGCCTCACCCCCGCCATGGTCACCGCCGAACCGACCACCGCTTGTGGTGAAGGCGGGCGCTGCGCATGCAGCGCCACGTTCCTAAGAAGACGACGACTCTTTTCAGCGAAAGCAGAGGTGGGTGAGCCCAAACACCCGAGGCAACCCAGAAATATCAGGTGTGTGAAGGTGCACCTTCTGTGCGCGTGGGTCATGATGGCGCATAGCACTCCAGCTTTCCAACTCTGCCGTGCGCGTGCGTGTGAGAGTGCGGACGACACACACAAGGCAAAGGATCCGACCGCCGACCGTCCCAGGATCTTCGGGGGATCGTAAAAATGAATGCGGGGGGTACCATAAGGGGGGCTCCGAATTTCCCGAGCAATCCACAGCGCAGCAGTCAGCAGTTGACTCACCAGCACCTCACACAACACGCAAGTACCGACACGAGAGGACGCGCTGAGAACACAAGAGAGAGGCTCACCTGGAACGTAATTGAGAGGAGTGATCTACTTGGTTTGGTCTGGGCAAGAGGCAGCATGACCAGGGGCTTGGTGAACGCGAGGTCGTCATGTCGGAGTTGCCTCCTGCTGGTGGCGGCTTCAGCAGCAACAACGCAGGCCTTCTTCGTGGGGGGGCGGTGTCCTCTACAAGCAAGAGGAGCGAGAACAGCAGCAGCACCCGCCGAACGACAGTGTAGAACAAGAGCGCGATCGGGACTTTCAATGATCATCCCACCCGCAGAGTGAGTTGAAGCGTCCTCCACGCACTGGTTTGGTTGTGGTTGAAACGTTGTTTAGCTGGTGTACGCAGACCGTGTTGATGGCCGCGAGACAAAATTGATGGTACCGCTCTCTAAACACACACACACACGCCGTTTGCGGCATGATGTGGTGCTCCTTGCCAACGTATATTAGAGTTGCGCACAACCACTTCATAAACTGCAAGCTTTGGAAGAACGTCCACAGACATTGCCTTTCTACTGCAAATGATTCTAGGTCTGTAGGTTGTTGAGTAGCAGCTGCTGCACCGTGGGAGCGACACTTATACTCTGCCGTGTATTTCTGCCTTTGTAAGCTGGTAGGAAGCAAAGAAGCAAACGGCAGCCTTTCCATGCATGCAACAGGAAATCTATAACGCACGATTGAATGTGCATGCACTGCTGTAAACACTGGTATCGATATAAACCACAAGGTACCATGTTTACTTTTGTGTAGTACAAGCAGTAACTTCGAAACACTGTCAGTGCGTAAGCACGTTGTTTGCTCTTCTCCTCGCTATTTCGCTCCACCTTAACTCCAACACCCCACGCGGATGCCAGGCTGGGGTACGTTACTGAGGCCTACGACGACTTTCCAGACTATGTTCCCAACATGGGTGCGTGGGGAGAGTCAAAGCCAGGAAGCACTCCAGGTGAGAGGCAGAGAGAGAGAGAAGGGGGGACAGCCATGAACGGGAACGGACGGGAGAGGGGGGGGGGGGGTACTCTTATGTTTTGCATGCCTTAGCGGTTAGACCATTGACCACGCGTCCTCGAGAGGACGGAGCATTGTTCCCACAGGACCGATCACCGATGGCCAACTGTTCCTTTCTACTTTGCCATAGGTGGCTCAAAAATGTCTTCCCTAGTCTGGCTATCCTAACGATATCCCTTCCCGCCTTTTCTCATCCCACCTCCTATGCCCCTGTACAGCTACCGTCCTTTCCTCTCTATTCCATGCCTCGAACATCTCCCTGTACGTCCCATCTATTTTTCCCAGCTCAGTCACGTACACTTCCCTCTCCTTCTTGTACCACGAGTATTCCGCGACTACATGAACACGGTCTTCGCATTTGAAGCCGCAATCACATTTGAACTCGTCGTCTTCATCGTCTACTGTCCTATGCCTTCGTCGACGTTCTCGAAGGCCTATGTCCCCGGTCCTGAATTTGACCTTCAGCTTTGTTCCTGCATCCGTTGGTCCATGTAGGTATTTCTCGAAGCCTATTCCTTCCTTCAACATTCCGTACACTTCTAGAACCTCCTTATCCTTGGATTCTTTCCTTAGATTCTGTTCTTCTCTCTCTGCACAAGCAACATATATCTTCTCTTTGAACTCCTTTAGACCCTCCGTTTCCAGTGTTTCATCTTCGTCGATGTCGAGCCCCTTCCATACGTCCTCTACAACCTTGACGCTTTCCGTGGGTTGTCTACCCCTCTTTTTGTTTGCCCACTTCGCCTCCCATACAATTCTCGGCAACCTCTCCTCTCCCATCCCGCACATGCGATACTTGCATGCCAGCTTCCTCGAGAGGGGGGGGGGAGAGAGAGAGGCAGAGAGAGTGGGGGGTTAAGAGAGAGGGAGGGAGGGAAGTGTCGAGGACGTTGTTGTGGTCTCAGGACGGCGTCCAGTAAAGAGCGAATCGATGTTTGTTTAACAAGCGCAGGAGTCGCTCGCGTTTATTCCTTGAATCGGAGCTGGAGACTATGCAGTACACCAAAGAGTGGTTCATTGTCGTAAGTGTCAAATGCACGACTGGGTTGAACACCAATAGCTATCCTGACATACCCACCCTACACGGGTGAAAGAAACGTTATGCTGACTTTGCGACGTGTCCCGATCGTTTCAGAGGCTTACCCGGCGGACTCGCTGGATCTGGACGACTTTTGGAACGGAGGGGCGGAGGCGGTGGACTTTCACGACATCCCGGTGGTCGACCGGCCTGTCTTCGTGGAGATGAAGCAGTTCATCGACAATGAAGGTCATACATATTATTCCCTCGCGATTTTCGCATAGTGGCCCAGTCGTTTGGCAAAGGACTAGCCTGAGTTGTTCGTGTTTTTTAAGGCTGATTCGATTCCATTTTGGTCGCGGGTGTTCCTGTATTCCCGATAGGATTATGAAAATTACCTCCCAGTCCCTCCGCAAAAAAAATGTCACAAAATTGTTTGCCAGCCATTGGTCGAGGGGCTACAGTCCCTCCAAAGAATCTGAGCTCCTTGCCGGACAAACGGTGACTTGGCTTAAGTATAAAAAAGTGTCCGCAAAACAAGTGGGGACACTTGTAATACTGAAGCCAAGTCACCAAATTTTTCCAGTACCAGGCGTTGTACAGTTGTACGACCTAGGGGGCACCCGGGTTGGGAGTTTGTGTACAGGAGAGGCATCACACAGCATATCACACAGCGTACCACCTCAGCCAAGCATGATCGACCAAGGGTTCTCACGTGCGTTGCGCACAGCGGAGCCTAGGGTGACTGCACTGCGGCAAATAGGCATTTGAGTGCTGTGTCTCTAACTTTTCCCCATTTGGGCTTCCAGTACTAGTAGGTGGGTTGAACCCTTCTGGAAATGGATGGATGTCTTAGTCTTCGAATTGAGTCAGGCGTCATTGCACCAGACTGCATGGCACCTCGAACATTGGACTTGTGTGGACTTGTGTCGAAGACATGCAACCGAGGGTGATTATTAAGCTTGGCTGACTGCTAGGAGCACAAGGACGAGGTCATACGTATGTAGTGGGTGTTGAAGGGCGACTCCAACCTAACAGCAACGATTATCGGTCCGGCAGCAGCACCGTCGTGCTCGGAGGGTCCGTTTAGCTCGCAATCCATTTACTGAAGCATGCGTCACAGATATCCTCGGTTGCGGAGCCCCCGTGAGCGGAGGTCACTGCTTGCTGTGCAAACTCGAGTCCGACCCATTCAGCGCTTCGATGTTCGCTGCCACCTTTCGCTGCGTGCTAGGGCTAACGATGCTCCCATCGGAGACCGAGCTATTGGAGAGGGATATCCAGAACGAGCGGAGAGCACGCGCTAAGGCCAGGAAGGAGCGCTTCGCGGACGAACCGGTGAGTACGATTGGGGGAGTTGTATGCGCTACCTGCTGCTGGCGTGGGGGCGCAAGAGCGCCGTAAGACAATCGACTGTTTTTTTTTCCCCACTCTTGTCTGTCTGCAGATTTAATAGAATCTTGATTTCGATGTTATTGTAGTACCTTCACTGATTGGAACATGTAGTTTATCTACGCATTTCGGGAGAAAGCGAAACAACTCGTGTCCCAAACCGCGTGTGGTCGGGTCGCTCCCCCGTACGCGATGCAACATGTTTCTCATGTACACGGGGCGGGGCGATCTCGCGTAGCCGTGCAACATCACAACACCATCAGTTGAGGCCTGGCATAAAGCAGCGACAGGATGTTTTTGACAGCGGTCTTTTTTTCGGCGTCAAAAGTGATGACGTCATGGCCAGGGTTTAAGCACTCCACCGCCGATGTTTCGCGAAACGCTCGCTTTCAACGTTGAGAATGTCTGCTTCGCATTTCCATCAAGTTTGCGGAGCGCAAAGAGCTATGTGGGTGAACCATTTGGTTTGTTGGTCGGTGGCGTTCTGCACGGTACGCCATGTTCACGGTTATTTGGAAGATTTTTTGAACAGGAGCACGTGCCTCTTCGGTGCCATGCTTGCCAGTCGCTGCTTCTTGCTCTCGGAGCTGTTGAGTATGGTCTGTGAACGATTTCATTCAGCACCCAATTTGCGTTCCTCATTCCTTCGTCAGACACAACAGTAGAAGTGCAACGTGGACACATGTTCGATACCCCGGCATTAGTACGCTCTCATGCGGACAGGTCTGCTGAATGTTGTAGCTCCCGTTCAGACAACCCGCTCTCGGTCGTTTCCTTTCCCTGGCCCATGTTTCATTCGCCCGGCCCGTGTTCCCATGATTCTTGCATTATTTGTCACCGATTTTCTTCTTCGACGTGCATAAAAACCACGAAGTTTACCACCTGTCGTGCTTTCGTACACGCCATCAGTGAGGAACGTTGTTTCGATCACAATGTCGGCCATCCTCAGACACCAGGTTTTTCTTGAAAGTTAACCACTCCCTACCCACAATTTGAAACCGGTCGGGTCTTACATACCGGACAGGATGAGGATCTGGTGGACGACACCCTGGACGACTTACCGCTCGACGACGAGATCGAGGTCGGCGTGATCGACGTCCCGCCGCCGCCGGTAGATTTCGACGACAGTGACGGTTACGACGACGGTTACGACCCGGATATGGGGGGGCTCGGAGAGGCAGAGAGCGATGGCATGTACTAAGTATTCAACGACGCTTTGGTGTGTGTGTTTCCCCTCCCCCAGCACCCTTGAGGGTAACTGATGAGAGCCTTGATTTAGCAACCAAGCGTGTCATGGCTGCAGAAAGATAGCCTTCGTGTAGCAACCAAACGTTTCGTTGCTGCAGGAAAAAGCTGGTTGAATGATGTTGCTGCTCCCGGTGCTATTGAGTCTATCTGGTGAAGACGTTCAGCCGAGGGCAGTAGGTGTTGGCGAAACCGGAATTGTTGTTTGTGGGTGCTGGTAGACCAGCGGTGGAAAGTCTCGCAAGACAAGTATGGTTCCTCATCTTCGGGACCACTGCCGGCAGGGCATAACAGGTAGCACCAGCGATCAGCGTGAGGCACGTATCTGCTGTCATGCCCACAAGCGTTGTCTGAATTGATGCAAGAGATGTGTTTCTTTTGGCGATTGCCTCAGTTGAAGCCCACCCTGTCAACACGAAAACGACCTCGAAGACATGACGCTCCGTTTCTGCTCGCTTTGAGTACCCAATGTTTTTACCCTCAAGACTACGGCATGCCAGCATGTCCCTGAAAAAAAATACATCTCTAGGAGGAGGGTTTAGATATATCTATATAGCACGCCAGTGCGCTTGCTTGTTGCCCTTGGGCACCCTTCCTTGTAACTCCTCCCACACGCTTACATGCCCTCGTCAAAGGCACTCACTTCAACCTCCAGCAATAAGGGCATTGCATCACCCTGCAACATTCCTGCTCCTACCCACCCTCCCGACACACTCACCCCCTACTCGGGCGGTTTTCGCACAACCCCACCCAACTCGCCAAAGGAGAGGGTAGAAATCACCTCGTCGGAACGTCTTCTAAACGAATCCTCATGAATGGTGAAGCCCGGCTCAACCCAAATGTTTGGCAACAAAATAAGTACAGATAGCTACACCTCCCCGCACCGGAGAAACGTGCTGCTATGTTTCCCTTTTCCAAAGCAACAGCGAACTTTTACTACTCAGGAGAACAGAAAAGAAGCACGTACATCTGGTCGCACTTGAAGAAGAAGAGGTGTTTGGTTTCGTGAGTCACGGAGCAACCAAAACTCCGTCCCGACTGTTTTCGAAATTGGCAGAGCGACATCCGAGAGGGGAAAACGAGTCCGATATGTGAACTAGGCGGAAATACAAAACGAACGGGTGTTAAGAGACTGTGATGGGTGGTGGGCATTGTTAAGACTGGCCTATTGTCAGGTACCGATAATCGACGGGGAAAGACACTTTGCATGTTCTGTGCAATAGTTCTGTCGTAGGGTTCATCCAAGACCCGCGATGCCTCCCCCTTAAGAGGTCACGGTACACCTGTTGCCTCTCCCCATCACCTCCTGTGTACCGTTTCCACGCACAAGGGCTGCCTCTCTAGACTAACCGTCCACACAAATCACATAGGAATTGAAACCTTCTGTTTCTACGGTATTGATCCATGTGCCATAATCGCGCAACGATTGTACACTTGTTGTTTGGGCCGGTCTGGACTCCCCTACTGCCGAGCTTTCAGCAGCGTATGCCTCACCACGCAATGCCAGGAGCCTTCGCACTCCTCGTCAAAATGTTTCTTAACGTCGGTCGCTATGTCTTTCTCGATGTCGTATTTGTCCATCGCCAAGCACACTCGCCGTTTTGCCTTCTGTTGGAGTTCTTCCGGGATTTCCGCGATCAGCACCTCGATCTGTGCATCGAGACACACGAAGGGAAGGAAGGACCGAACTGTAGGTTTTGCGTACGAGCGGTGGACCCTTATTATATTTGATTTAGCGAAGAGCTATGAGCCCTTTTTTATGCACCGCACAGCAGTCATCATGCACGCTGATTACTCGATCGATTAGACTTCGACCCCCTAACGCCCTCGCCGGATCCATGAACAGCAGAAAATACGCCATCCTCACTGGAGCATCAGGGTGTCTGTAACTCAATCAGACGTAGCGGTCGGCTCCAGCCTGATCGCAAAGTTAGTCCCAGAGCAGTTTTCACCGCCACGGAGAACACCCTCTATGCCGTAGTGGTCAGGCTGGTGACGACAAGTCTGTAGACTACATGAAAACAAAATAATACTCGGACGTGATGATCTTCGTGGCGAAAACCTCGGCACCATCACCACCATATCCGACTACACTGCACATGCGCATATCATGTGCCAACGGTATGATGATTGAAATAAATTCAACGATACCGCCAATCGTACACACCTTCCTTTCCGTTGCTGACTCTTGTGCCTCCGAAGCTGCCTGCTCATCGTCCGCCATAAGCCTGCAGATGTGGCGTCGGAGCCTCTACTACAGTTGTGTGGAAATAAATGTTGTCAAGAGAAGAAGGGGTCGGGTTATAGGGCAGGCTATGTACACAGGGTAGATATAGGATAAGTTTGTGGAACACACCGAATATATCACGAGAATGTGGGGTCATGTTGTAATCTATCATGAATATACAAAGAGTGGACCAGCGATGCATGCTTAGATGACACGCAACGACTGTGACGTGCGTGGCCGACCTACCAGAGGGTTGCAACACCCGTACTTAGACTTCACAGTCAGTAGTTGCCTGCCCGCATCTTTGACCTCCGAATGTCTGAATGAAGACTAAGTATATGCCCAGTTGGTTGGTGGTTTTGCTGAGCAGCGCTCTGGCCGGGGACACACGGCAGTTCAAAATCAGACCTGCACGATCAAGCAGCACTAGACTAACTACTGAAGACACGTATGTACAAAAAAAATCATGCGGAGGGAAAAGCGTTTGCTGCATCGGCGCGATCCAGAACAATCTGTACAAATACCGCACACAGCCAGCGACGATAACCCGTCAGGAACACACCTATGTCAGTCTGCTCTAGGCACCGTGCAATAGTTTATATCTTTCGAAAGAAAGGATGCGCTGTGGTATACTTTCTCGACTTTCGTAGATCCGAGAAGACGAGGCGAACCGAAACATGAAACGGTCGCATTTCACTAAATTGTATTTGTTGAGAATCTCTCACAGTTCAATCCCGCATGTCCACAAGATACAAAGTAACAGCGAAAAATCGGCTTTACCATTTACGAAAAATACATTTCGGGAAGAGCGCACTGCTGTAGCAAGACTTTGTCCACAGCACAGAACGGACTAGATGGGCAAATTGCTTTGTGCTTCGCTACATACAAGGTAGACTTGTTTTGCAAAGATACTCCAAAGATCTATGTAAGCGCGAGAGACTAGACTAATGATGTTTGTTGTTGTTGTTTCTCACATTAATTAGCTCTAAATAAAAAAGCCCGTGGTCTCAAAACCCGGCATATACGACCCCACGAAGAAACAGAAAAAAATAGGGTCCAAAAACCACTCGGAAGAGAAACAAAATGATAGAAAGAAAGACCAGCTACCGCACCAAACGAGAAAGAGCGTCGAGGAGACCGATCAAAATAAAATAAAAGAAGAACGGGGAACGCTTCCCACACCCGCCTACAACGCCGGAGGGTTCCGTGCCGGGTTCCCGCCGACCAGGCATCCCCCGCCCTGCACCACACCCCAGGGGGTGCAGCAAGACGGGGGGCGAAAAACAAACACATATATATTCCCACAAATAAAATTAAAAAATCGAAGGACAACGTCCACCAGTACCAGGTACTACAGCAGTGCAGTATGCACCAGCGCATTAGTGTAGGGTAGGCACCGCACCAAAGAGGCAGCAGAGGTGGCAGGCAGCCAGCAAAGGAAAAAACAAAAAAAACAAGGAGCTCGAGGTATCGTCCAAGATCATCGTAGAGAGGGCATGGAGAACAAGAAAGAAAGAAAGAAGAAAAGCACAAAGAGAGGCCGGAGGCAATACTAAGAGCATACAGCTTACGGCAGGGAAAAGGGAACACAGGGTGCGACAACATCATCAGTTGGGTACGTCGTTCGCCGCAAGCGCGGCCTTGGCCGCCCTACTCGCTTCTACAGCAGTGTCCGGTCGCCGTTTCTTCCCCCCCCCCGCCGCTTCCCCGCTTCTCTTTCTCTTCGGGCCCGGGGCGGCCGTACTCTCCGTCTCTGCTTCCTCCGCGCGCTGGCGCTGGCGCTTCGCGGATGCTTCCGCCTCCTGTCTGTGCCATTTCCTCATGAACCATGCCGCCCCGTCCTCGATCTTGTCGTACCACGCCTCCTGGTCCTTGGCGCTCTCTTTCCATCTCCCCCCCTCCTTCTCCTCTTTCATGCCAAACGCCACGAGGTCCTCTCCTAGGCGATACACCCAGTCGCTCTCCTGCCCGCCCCGGTATCCGGTACCCCCCGCCATCGCTCCCAGCAGCATGCGCTTGGGGAGGCGGTTGTCCTCCATGCGCATAACGAAGCCCGCAAAACACAGCCTCCGTTTGCGCACGGTGGCCTCGATGGTTTCCTCGCAGCCGGCCTGGATGAGGGCCTGGGCGTAGGACAGGGGTCGGTCTGAGCGCTTCCGCTTGCTCCAGCCGATACACCGTGTCAGGAACTGGCGGTGGGTCCCATTCAGCTTGGTGTAGTGCTCCGCTGCCAGGCTCCACGAGGCGCACCCGTATAGGAGGGTCTGCACCACTTCAGCCTGGAGTAGTCGGATCTTGAGCTGGCGGTTGGCCCGTTTCCTGTCGTACATCGAAGTGCTGTTCCGGCGGTAGCACTTCCATGCTCGGCAGATGCGGCTCGTGATCTCCCGGTCGACCTTCCCATCCGCGCAGATGGTACGTCCGAGGTACACAAACCGATCTGTCTGCTTGTACGTCTGGCCAGCGGCGCTGACCGCGAACGGGCGTTCCCCCAGCCCTTTCGGTAGCATGCACATGATCTCCGTCTTTGGCTCCGATACCATCAGTCCGAACAGGCCGGCCACGCGCACGATGATGGACATCATCTTTTCGAGGCTCTCCGGCGTGAGCGAGACGATGGCCGCGTCGTCAGCGTAGAGCATGTCCCACAGGGCCTCTGCGACCGTCACCATCATCGCCTTCTTCCCCGCCGACCTGCCCCTCTTGCCCGTGCACTCCACTCGTGTTGCGATCTTGATCATATCCGCCGTCACCTTGGGGTCCTTGTCGAACTCGGTCACTGCGACCATGCGCATCGCGGCAGAGAACAAGTTGAACAGCAGCGGGGCCAGGTTGCACCCCTGTCGGAGACCTTGGCCGACGTCAAACCATTCCGAGTACTGCCCGTCGTCCGTTCGAACCCGCGCCCTCATGCCCTCGTGGAAGTGGCGAATGACCGCCAGCATCTTCGGAGGCACGCCAAAGCGTCCGAGCACGTCCCACAGCAGATCTCGGTCCACCGAATCGTACGCCTTGGTGAGATCGACGAAGCACGCGAAGACCGCAGTACTCTTCTTCCTCGCGAGCTCATGGAGCCGCTGGATCGCGAACAGCATGTCGAGCGTCGACCGGTGTGGGCGGAAACCGCTCTGCTCCTCCGGGAGGATGCCCTCTCGCTCGCAGTAGTGGCTTAGGCGTGTTGCAACGACCTTAAGCAGCACCTTGCCGGCGTGTGCAACGAGAGAGATGCCCCGGTAGTTGCCGCACTCCATCGTGTCCCCCTTCTTGAACAGAACCTTGATGGTGGCGTCCTTCCACTGCTGCGGTACGTTCCCCGTCTGCCACACGTCCACGACGATGGCGTGGAATTCGCGGAGGAAGCCTCGGTCTCCATCCAGGAACAGCTTGATCAGCTCAGCCGGTAGGTCGTCCGGCCCGACGGCCTTCCTGTTGGCCATTCCCCGCACCGCCTCCTCAACCTCGAATAGAGACGGGATGTCGTCGAGCGGAACGCACGTGGGCCACTGCTTGACTCTGTCGGTCGCATGCAGGTCGATGGTCGGCGACTTGGTGTTAAGGAGCTTGTGGAACCACCGCGCCCACCGCTGGCGGGTAAGCGTGGGGTCCCGAAGGACCTTACCGTCCTCGTCCTTGATGTTCTGGGAGGTAAGTGGCCTCTTACCTTCGACGTCGATCATCTTCAGGTGCCTGTAGAAACCCGCCTGGTCCCCCTCACGGCTCTTCTTCTCGAGCTGCCTCACATAGCCCTCGAAGAACTTTTCCAGTGCTCTCCACCTCGCGCTGCTGCGTTTCTTCCGCGCCGCCTTGAGCTTCGCCTTCAGGGTCGTCTCTAAGTCGCTGTTCTTTGAGGCCCCGCGCAGCTGCTGTTGGGCCACTCTTATCTCCCTAGACGCTTCGGAAATCTCGTGCTGCGCTTCGCTCGTGTACCATCCTCCCTTCCCTCGTGCGCTCCTCGCCAGCGGCGCGATCTCCGCAGCGGCCGACATCACCACAGCGGTGAGCTCGGCGGCGGTCTCTCCCGTTGGCCTGCTGAGGGCCGTGGGCGGAGGGCGGTTGAGAGCCCTGTCTTGGAAGACGGCCCGTAGGTGCACATCCTTCCTCAACCGTTCGAGGTCGATACGGATCCGGCTGCTTCCGCTGTTTCCCCGCGTTCGTCGGTTGGGTGCGACACGGGGGGGGGAGCGGACAGTCGTATGCACCAGGTTGTGGTCAGAGTCCTTGAAATCGACACGTTTGACGGAGGCATTACGTACGAGACGCCGGTCCGTCTGTCGCATGAGGATGAAGTCGAGGCGGTGCTTCTCCTTCCCCTTGTTGGAGCTCTGGAACGTATGCTGCACTCCTCCTTTCGGTGTCCGGAAGTAGGTGTTGATCAGGGAGAGTCGGTTGTCTGCTGCCAGTCCGAGAAGTCGTTCCCCGTTGTTGTTCATAATGTCGCGTCCGTACGCGCCCATAATCTTGGCATCGCAGCATCCGTCTCGCCTCCTGCCAGTACGTGCGTTGGCGTCCATTAGTACCACGAGATGGTCACGGCTATGGACCTCCCGGATCTCTGCGTCGAGAGCAGTCCAGAAGGAGTCCTTGGCATTGACATCACCGCCCGCGGTGTTGCGGGCAGTTTCCGTAGGGGCGTACCCCACCACGAAAGTTACTCCGCAGGTGCGGCCAATTTGCAGGCGCACCTTCATCAGCCTCGGGCTAATGCACTCCACCGTCCTACCTCCCTCGCCTACGCTGTCCCACATGGTCTCCTTAATCGCTATGCCCACACCGTGCACGCCCCTCTTGTCCTTGGTGCCGGCACGGGCACCACTCCAGATGATCACGTACCCGTCGTGTGTAATCGCGCCTTGTCCCGCTCGTCGGGTCTCTTGGAGTCCTATCACATCACAGTCGGTCGCGGCACAGATCTGCATGACCGTCATCACGTTGTGGCCGATGGGGTTCCTGCCGCTGTAGGCGAGCGTGGGTACGTTGAACGGGCCGAACGATAAATCGCCCTCCCGTGCCTTCTTCTTCGCGGTCGCCTTCACGCCCGCTGCGATCTCCTGTCGCTCTCGGTCCGCCTCGCGCTGGGGGGGTGTTTTCTTCCGTTTAATCCGAGCGGCGAGTTTCTTCGCATCGATCCATCTTTGCAGGGCTCGGTGCTTGCCTGTGGTGTTTGGACGAGGAGGGTGCAGCACTCCCCCCCCGCGTCGCCCGCGGTTATCTCCCTTCTCCCGCGAACGGTGCTTACTCGCGTGGTTTTTACGAATCTCTCTGCTCCTCCAGCTTCGTGGGCCACGTTTTCCGCGACGGTGGTTACCAGGTGCAGTTTGCCGCTTTGCATTGCTGCCGCGGGGACAAGGTCCACATACACCTCTCGCCACTACCACCGTCTGTGCATCCTCACCGCCACGCTGAGCCAGCGCGGCGGTGAGTTGCACCTTGGGACACCACCCACCTACTATCTGTTGTAGCCTGGTTCGCCCGCGAGGGACTCACAAGGTCGATTTCGGCCCCGGCCGGGGAGCAGGCCGGGGAGGGGAAGAGGTGGTATTATAGTCTGGTCTATACGTGTGAATGTACAATAAGTCTGGGTCTCCACGTCTACCATGCTGCCCTTCGTTCTTGTGTAGAACGCGTAGATTGCACATGTGTGTAAAAGAGTGTTTGTTCCATCAATTATGTTTCCCTCGGGACGTTTAGCTTCTTTCAGCGATCGCGTGGGGCATGGAACATACCGTATATGACACAAGATAACACACCCCCTTGACCAATTTTCGAAGCTCGATTTCTCAACTGCAGAAACAGTCACAGCGCCGAAAATGACGGTGTTGAAATTGTCTTGTCGAGAGTTTTCCAAAAATGTGTTGTTTCATTTATTCATTCTTTTCGTCGTGGAGTTATCGAGCTTTGAAAAACGGTCCAAGGGGTATGTTATCTTGCATCATATACGGTACGTATGCATACCTCAAGACGAAGGAGAGGAGGAACGTTGATACGAGGTCAATCAACATTCTTGCAAACCGTGACACGAACATGTCAAGATTCTTGCAACCGAAAAGCCGTTGTCTGTCTCCACACAACAAGTACCATTGTCACTTTCTGTCGATTTTCCGCATGCACGAAGGACAGGTATCGCCTGGACACATACCGGTCGCCCCGGTGGTCTAGTGGGTACCCTCGCAGCCTGCGAAGGGTCAGGTCATGGGTTCGAGTCCCGGCAGAGTGGGGTTTTTCCCACTCAATGAATCCTGGTCTAGGATGAAGGCGACGCGCTGCAAAGTTGTTAGTAAACCATAATCGACTTCGCAAGTCGCGAGGGAAGGGACTATTCTGGGTCCGAAAATCCCTCTATAGTGCCGGCTTGGCACTATTCAGGACTGTTCGACTTCAGAGTGCAGCGCTTGCGCTTTGCGGGGCTGACAGAGTACCAAACGAACGGTTTTTGGATCAATCGTGAGGTGGGCGACGTGGGCGGGCTTCAACCGGCACTATACCGGGCACCGACACTATACATGACGCTCTTGCACTGTCGAAAACACGGCATTGGCTACACTAAAATAAACTTGATTGACCAGATAGATTTGTTTTAGAGCAGTTGTTCTTGTCCCACCTCAACGCAAGCACTCGCTAGTGAAACGTTGCTGCTGCCTTTCAAGCGTAGACTGTGCTGCCCGATAAAAGTTCACCTCGCAATCAAATTAATGTGTTTTATCGCAAGAAGGCCGTGGCCCTATTATTCTTCAGGCAACCTCAAAGGCACCCTGGACAGCGAAAAAATGACGCTCATGCATGCACCCGGTGTACATACATTTGGAGGTAAAACATGGATGGATGTATGTAGTGCTCCTAACATGAGCACACAAAACAAGCAGATGAAGCTGAAAAAGGGGTTAATGAAGAAGATAACGAACTCCCCTGTTCCTTCGATCAAAAGCTCTAGAGAAGACCAAGCCTTCAGAAGCAAGAAAAAAGACTGGCCAACCAAAAGACGTCAGTCTCAGTGCGGTCAAAAACAGAAAATATTTGTTTGTCAAGGATGTGAGAGGGTTTCATGGAGGAGGCTGAGCTATTCTCTGGATAAAAGATAGAAATGGTAGCAACCGAGAGAGGAGAACTACGTGACTGCCAAGGTTTACTACTTTTGAACACGCGTTTGTTCGGAGTGTTTTCATCATTCATTAGAAGTATTTTATGTATGTACCACCACTAGACTACTAGTCTACACTCTTCACGAATAATATCTTTCCACTATTTTTCGGGCCGTCATCTCTGGATTCTGCGCCCCTGCGCCGTTTGTTGTGATGAAGGTCATGTCGCTCGAAACTCTTGTTGTTCCCCTCAACGCCATATTTTCCTCGAGCATCGTCACTGCTATCCTTGGCTACTATAGTTTCCATATCCATCCTTCGTCACTACCACCATCTTCTTTTCGCTCGTCTCCCTACTGAAATCCAGCCTCTTGGTGGAACCTAGTCGATCGGTAAACCGTGAGATTTGAAAACTTCACGCGTACCGAGAGAAACCGAGCTACTTGTAGCTCGAAGGGGAACCGTCTCCGAATCCTGTTGGCGTGGAAGGCTTGAGGCGAAAAAATGCTGTCTGGGAGGGGGGAACCGGCACTATTGAGGGGTTCGATCGTGCTAGAACCGGCACCATAGCGGGAAGCCTTCAATAGTGCCGGCTTGGCACTATTCAGGCCTGTGTCTGTCATTAAAAGTTACCGGCACTATACCGGACTTTGGCACTATTCAACAGGCACTATATCGAGACACCTACTGTACTCATTGGTCAAGTAGGTACCAGGTAAATGTAGTCGTGAATGAAATCTCCAGCCTCCCACTTCATGCGCGGCAATGCGGATAACGAGACGCATGAATGAAGCCAATTCGATGGCAAAAGCACCATGTCTAATAACCCAAGCACAACCAACGCGGAGGACACATGAATGAAAAACAAGTTTCCCTGCCGAGGATAATGCTCTAGACCAGACGCAGACATGTACTCACAGAGAAAGCTCAGGTAGGCTTGCTTTTGTCGATCAACAGTCACATCATCATCATCATCATCATCATCACACCGGCTACGATACCGCCGTCGTAAATCTCAAACCGTACAAAACATTACCCAGCACAGACTTCCCCTTTCATTTCCAACAACAACACGGTTCGCCCGAACACTAGTCTAATCACGAAATAACTTGCTTGCTCTTCCACAACACATTCAAGTAGTCCTGAACCATAGGGGAATCATTCCCGTGCTCGTTGACCTTGCATGACTGCGCGGATTCCACCAACCCCTCTTCCTGCCCCCGTTTCCCTAGCCGCGCCCCCCTTCTTTGTTGATTCACCGGCGTAACGGGCGAAGCTGTGATGCTACCCGTCGCGCCTTACAATCCCACCCCAATACAATTTAACAGTAGCAAGGATAGTTGTAATACACAAACAACGGCAGTCCAATCATCCCAAAGTGCAGGTGTGTTTATAGTCCACGCCTCAGCCCAGCAGGAGCGCTTTCCGGATCTCCCCTGCCCAACGCACGCTATCGTCTATCCAGCGCTCATGTACCAAGGGGTAGTCTAGCCAAGAGGCCAGCTTCCGACTCCTGTAGAATTTCGTTCGTGTGATAACGGCACCTCAGCCTCAATCTCCGGTTGGGCTTTCCTGCCGCACAAGGGTCTACACCCTGTAGAATTCGCAAAGACAAGCCCTGGAACACGCACACCACATCACGTCACTCAAAGCCGACTTCCCCGACACGCCGCAGCCAACCCTCACTCCCGCTGTACACGCAGCCAACAATACTCTGAAGCACCCCCCCACGCGCGCGTGAATTTGGAGGTATGCTTCGACCGGGCATGCGTGAACCTTGCTAGTAGATGAACGGCAAATAATCAAACGTACAGGACATTCTGAAAAGAAACGAAAACACAAAAGGACACCACCGCTGATGCTGCGATGTAACAACTTGGAATGCGATCAGAGCTACTACGCTCTCCTCTTCAGGCCTAAGGCACGCATACTTTTGAGCCTCTCAAGCCACCATACAATCCTGCAGGGATGTCCACTGCCTTCTACTCCAGCCCGACCTTTGGTATGGTACTGATGTTCAACGGAAACTCTAAAAATTGCAGTCTTTGTGGTAAACCTCTTCTTACAATGAAAGCCCACCGCCTTCTCATCGCCCCCCTCCGTTGATTGCTCCCTCGAAGCGATGGCATGATAGCACGACTTGTTTTCTAGTCTTGCTTCACGTACACCACGCACAATGCCATATCTTTACACGTGTGTATGTTTCGTACCGACACCTCCTTGTTGGTGGACTGGCTTGTCAATTTGGGAACAAATTAGATATGACAGCACGTGGCGCCTCAATCTGCCAACAAACATTCCCGCTGCCTCGGCCGCTCCTGATGCTTCTGTTGCTTCTGCACGTGGGGGCAGCGCCACAAAAACAAAGTGTCAACAACGCAAATCATACCCGGTTTCTGCCTGCATCTTTTCTTCGACTCGAGCCCAACGGCGACCTCACTCACGCAACGAACAAAATGACATAATCGTCTCCCGCTGACTGCTGTGTCGCGATGAACACTACTGGGTCATACCAGACCACCCCATCCATCCCCGCTGATCCAACCGGCTTGTCCACGGCACGAAGAAAAACACATTATTTCGTTGAGCTGGTTTTGGCCGAACAACATCGTCCAGCCACCTCCAACAACACAAAAAAAAATCTCAAAGCCCGATTAAAAAATTGTCCACGATTTTTCTCAACCGCCCAGCGGACCACGGGCAGCACCCAACCCCGACGAACAGACCGCGCCAAAACTGGTTCGACCACTCAGCTCTGCTGCCGCACTACAACTTGAGGTACTCCTTGTTGGAGTAGGTGAAGTCATCGAGGCCCCCCGGGAGCGAGGCCGGCAAGGCGGAAGGGTCGATGAGCCCCGTAAGAGTCGCCTCCGCCTCCTTCTTCGACAGGAACGCTATCTTCTCCTTCGTCCGCTCTTCCAGCACGGTGGAGATGAGCTGGGCGCGGCGGCGGGCGTCGGGACACGCGAGAGCGAGGAGGCGGCGGGCTTGAGAACGGCGTCGGGGAAGAAAAAAACGAAGAAAAAACCCTCAGGGATTGATTGGCCGCCTGGTAGGACACCCGACCGTATACGACGTCATCGGTCGACTACGGAGTGTTTCGCCATTCTTCCGAACGTTCCTTCAAAATACATTGGCCAATCAGAAAGCTGCGGGCACCTTGTCTTGTGTCTCTCTGAGAGCGCTGTCTGTCACTTCACCTGGTCTTCCAGCATTCTCGGGCAACGCTCTGGTTTATAGCATTTACTTGGGCGTAGGTGCTATGCATGATTTCAACAATTCTACGTAGTTCACCACTATGGTTAAAACCCCATGTTGGAGCGGCGGTTCCAAACCGTCAAACCGTCAAAATACGACACGCGCACCTTCCACACGAACGTGATGGGTCCCCCCGCGTTCACGATCACCACGTATCCCAGGCGCATGGGGTAATGGCGCTGCATCGTGATGAACGCCGTCTTGAGCATGGGCAGGGGCGGCGTCTTGGAGGGCCCGAACCCGGAGCAGTCGGCCACCACGGCGAACTGCGTCTGCCCCTTGGGAAGCGAACCTTTCGCCCTCTCCAATGTGTGAAACAGCAGATTCAAACCCTGCGGCGGGTGTTGACATAACGGAGGAGAAAAAAATGTTTTGTCCCTCGCTCCGGTGTCTCGATGCTGTTGCCAAAATGGTCTTGGTGCGAGAAATGTAGCATGCAATGCTGAGATGCATAGACAACACGAAATCACTCGGCCTGCCTGAGGAGGGCGAGCATTTACAATCTGCGATATTCACCTCAAGAATGTCCCGTACATTGTGACGAGTCAAGTGGCCTGTCGGAGGTCACCTACCTTCGGGGGTGTTGCCGCAGATTAGAACCAGCGGACACGCTGAACCCCGCGAGCCAGCTGCCCCCTCTCTCTCTCGCTATTCTTACATTCGTTCTCCCTCTCTCGCGAACCCCCCGTGATGTCTACCAGCGTCGATGGCCATTAGATAAGCACAACACACTAGAGTGCGAGATGATGCAACAACAATGCTGCTTGGTGGTATTGAGTCTTCTACTTGCACCTCAGAAGCAGGACAATGTCGTCCAACTCCTGCGCGCCCCGTCACGGATGTTGGCCTACGAGCCCTAGCCTCCCTGAGTACCAATTTTACGGGAATTGACGCTTATTTAGGTTTGCCCGGCGGCGGTTATCGAGGTGTTTAAAAGATATAGTAGCTGTCGCTAAAACGAGCGACAGCTGATAGAT